ATATATATATATTTCAAATAAAGTTTATATTCGTTTGTAAAACCCTTTGTGTGATTTTTCTACTTCCCGCCTCTGGCATTCTTTGTGCCGCTAGTGGCACAACATTATATTACAAGAATTTCAATATTTCCTAGAAAATGTTACAATAAAATAAAAAAAATATTATGTAACCTAAATAAATATAGTAATTTTACAAATCTGGTAAATCTTATGTTGGTAATATTGCAGCGTAAAATAAAATTTCTGTAAGTCTTTACGTTCACGTACATCATTGAGTAACAGCGCTCATGGCAAAACTTATTGCATTGAAGATTGTGGGGAAATGTGCATTACTCTTCTGCGTAAATAAATCGTCACTAGTTTGTTTAGTATTTAAGATATTTAAAAAATCTAATCAAGGCCATTCTAGTCTTACTCTGTATAACAAATAGTATGAGTATTTCGTGTGCCATCTTCTACTTCTTAAAGTAATATGTACACTTTCATGTCCGCTCAATTTCGACTCGTAATACCACATCTAACAGAATTTCCATGAAGCATAGAATTCGCTTATAAAATTAAAAAAAATCAATAATACACAAGAATAGTTTTAATAAGATAATTAAATAGTATCATTTCGTATTCGTGTAGTACTAAAAACTCTGTAGTACTAAAAATATAATTTGAATTAAATATTCTTTGAAATATTACAATGAAGATCAGAGCAATTTAAAGCTTCTTTGTATGAACCACGTTTCAAAAAGTTGCTTCAAATTTTTTATTCTCAAATATTCATTGAAAACTGTAAGATTAGATTACAAACACATTATATCGCGGTATAAATTCAAAATGCTCTTTTGCAGGAGCTGTTGCAGCTGTTTGTTATAAACGAGATTTTGCCGATCAGCTCTATGTACTCCTTGAGTAAGTCTATCTGCGATATCAATAAAGAAATATGTGCCACTGTGCTATTTCTTCTCTGCGGTTTCGATAGGGAGCAATTAAATATTGTGAGTATTCTGTAAATATGAAATAGATTTCCACCTCCGATTGGATTTTCGTTATCATTTCATACGCATGTTGATCACAAGTTGTCCGGTTTTTAGACTTTGCTGTCTACATTTTTGAGTCACAATCCAGCTGGTACCTCGATCAAAACGATACTACATTTTCACCAGGTAGTTAATTCTGGGAAGTTTAGCCAATACGATTACGGTCGCATGAAAAATCTACAAATCTACAATACATCCGAACCACCGGATTACAATCTCGCGAACATCACCGCACCGTTCGCGTTGTTCTACGCCGAAAACGACCCGCTAACCACCTTCCCGGTAGGTATAGCGAATAAAAGTATTCAAAAATCATTAAGAGATATATTGGAGATTAATATGTTTTAACCCTTTGTACACTTATGTTACAAAGAAATAAGAGCGATCAAAATTATTTCTTTAAGGATGTGAAAGAACTCATCCGGGTGTTACCTAATGTAGTGGACGATTATACAGTGCCGTTTCCTAAATTCAACCATCTGGATTTCGTACTTGCCACAGATGCACCTCGGCTTGTATACAATAGATTACTCAAGATCCTAAAAGTACGAATGTTATATTGATAATTAAGAAATTGCAATTGTATATTTTAATAAAAATATTTTAATATTTTAATTATAAAGGAAAACTGATACTGAACACATCTCATAAAAAAAATCTTATTTCTTCACCTCCATATTTTTCAAAAATTAATTATGATATTTCATTAATGCTAATCAAAATTCATAATTTATACATTTGTGGCTTGTTTCTATACAAAATCGGCTAGAAACAAAATCGGCTAATCCTGCAAATGCGAAAATAAAATTCTTACGATTTTTTTTGTAAATTATATAGTTTAAATAATAGCTGTGATTATATTATTATTGATAATATTACACATTGTTTTATGCAGAATAATTCGAAATAAATGTTTGTCCTTAAAATGTCATATTCCTGACTTAATTCTAAGATGATTTTCTTTTGGCGAAAATTTGATGCGAAGCATATTATTTAATTATAACAAGAAATATTTAGCGAATAATGGAAAGCATACGGTAAGCAAGAAACGGTGCAACTCATTGTCCGACGCAGGTACGTAAGTATAGTCGTGGACAGAATGATTATAACACTTATTCAATGGATTTCAGAACTTATCCTGCTTATCGAATAATCGATTGAGGACATGAGGGCTTTTTTTATAACCACAAAATGATCCCTTTATTGTCTTATCTACCTCTATTTTTTCATTTATTTGTGTCTATTTCCATCCATGTATTCTTGTCTATCTTCATAAAAGTGCAGTAACATACCGCAAATATAATCTATTATTATAATATAAATGTCCGAAATATATCGTAGGGATATATCCTGAAAATATTATATTTCAAGTAAAATAAAAGTGATATCTTTAGGATATCTCTTTTATTTTACTTGAAGGGATGGGTATTATTAAAAATATCTTTTTACATTATATAAAAATATCTTTATATACTATTAGAATTATTTTTTACACAAAAATAGTATTTGATAAACTAGTATTTTAAGTTATGCAAAACTGATCACAATTATAAAACAATTACTAGATAAAATTCTTTTATTTTATGAAAAATGTATGTAAATATAAATGAGTCTCAACTTATTATAATATTTCAGCTGATGTAAAATCTAGTTACTACAAATAGAATTACACAAGTTTAGATTAAAGTCATTGTGCATTGAGATCAATAATAATAATTAAGAATCATAAAATATCTTCTATAAAAAAACAAAATAAATTGTACAAAATATACAACTCGACATTAAAATATTTGTTATTTCATTATAAAATGTGTACGTATAATTATGCAACTATAATTATTATAAACACAATTTCTTTAATTAATTCACTCTTTGGTAATAATAACAAAAAATATATTAAGAAAAATTAATTATCAGACAGTACGTGCAACAATTATTAATAGCATAATTGACTATACTTGATTGTACGTTAAAATTACTTATTTAAATTTAATTGTCACAAAAAATGACAGTAAATTATAATTAAATTATGATAATTGTAATCATTTTTTTCTTTCAATGTATATGAGAATAAATGAATTTCATAAATCAATTTGAAAATATCTTCATATGCACAATATATTCAATCATAAGAATGCATCCAGAATTAAGTTTATCCTAATTTGTTTTAACTTATCCATTTTAAGACAACGGATGTATGATATGCTATATATATAATTATCCGCATATTGTTATTATATCTACGTATGCATGTATTTAGGTATGTACATAAAATAACAATAATAATAAAATGACGATACATTCGTTACCCCAATAAAAATGTTAAATCATCACTCACCGACCGATGCGCAACAATGGAGCTACATCTACAATATCGCTACGATGATTCTGCAATAAATTAAAATCCAAATAAAAGCAGGATAAAGAAATAATTATTATTTTAAAAAATAATTATTATGTGAACGTATGCAGTTTTCCCGAAAATTATCATTTGAAAATATAATTTTTATAGGCATCGAATTTTGTACCTATTATTCAGTTAGATATAAAATAATCGTATAATCTCTAAAAAAGATTTCAACAAAAATAAGTTTACAAGAGTAAATTTACAATATAAAACAAATATAAAATCATGTTTATATAATTTTTAAATAACTTCACTTTTCTTCCTAATTATTATTTTTATATTATTATCAAATAAAACGATTTAAGAACAAGCAAAAAAAAATTAATTTTACACAAGTAAAAAATATTTACCGCAAGTTATTCCACCGGTGCCCGAAGTCTCTCCCAAACATCCTCCTCTAAGAATTGTGTTGACATCCTCTCGCACAGGATACTCGCGTAAAACACTCGCGAATAATACTCTATAATCGCGCGCGGAATAATTATTTATCAAAGTCTTTCGCGTCGAACTACATTTCCATCGAATATTTTATGAAAAGTCTATTAGTTATTCCGATAACTTCAACAGCACTCCCGAAGCAAACGCGCGACGCGACGAACCGATTGCGGTTCACTTCAATTAAATCGACGGCGACGGTACGTTCCCCATCGGTAGATTTTTTCACGAAAAAAATGATTTACTCAATATCTAAAAATTTATCTAGATATACCATTCAGATAGATCCAAAAATTTTTAGATACTTAAGAAAAACTTTCTTTTCATGTATATCCTTCCACTACATCAAGGTCGTACCCGTGAGCGAAAAGATATCATCTGAAAAATGTAATATACAGCCATTATCTATATTATTATGTAATTATCAGTAAATTTTTAGAAATGTATATCAAATACTCACCAATTCATCATTATTATGAAATAAATTCGGAGCAGATAAAAGATTAAATCTCTTATTACGATATCTGTAAGATTAGAGTCAATGGAATGGGCCAGAGATTAATAAAAAAAATTATTTCTTTTATTATCAACAAATAGTTTGAAAGTTACGCTTAATTTTTTATACGGATTGTATAACGAAAGATGTGTTCAAAAGATGACTTTACGATTTATTCACTTTTTACATTTCTTTAATTTTCAAATAAAATGAAATTTTAATTAAATTTTATATAACATTATCTTAAAGTTTATTAAATTCCCTTTAAAATGTTCTATCATTTTTTTAAATTCTGCCCATAGACTTCTAGCATTTATCCAAAATGAACTCGATATCTCATAATAAAAGCCTTTCCTTTAATATTGTGAACAAATTAAGTACAAAATATAATGCTATCAATAATAGCACTACAAATCAACAATGAATGTCTTTATTACATTATATGTTGATAATTTCAGGTAGTTCCATTCGCCATGAATGGAATGACATCTAAAAATATATTGGATTGTCCGGAAAGTTCGTGCCGATTTTGAAGGAAAATTGAAACTCAGAAGATTTAAATTTTAGTATACATTTATTAAATTATATAGATTAGTCGGCACGAACTTTCTGGACAACCCAATACAAATTAAAGGATTTATTCTATAAATCGGAATATAATCGAATTTTCTAATCCAGTTTTCAGTACGTATTATATTTCATATTTTTTTTTATAACTCCTTTACATTATTAGTGATTCCTAATATATTTGAGAATTAAAATAACCAGTCTCTAATTATATTTTTTTAGGTTTTCACTATGCCTCACGTCATTGGTGTGTGCCCTTATGATAGAGCCCTTTATGTCTCAGAAATTAGACCAAAAAAAGTGTGGAAATTCGACCAAGTGACCAAATCTAATAACACAGATATTAAGCAACTAGAATTACACAGCAACAGAATTACATTGGAAGTAATTGATCGTTACTTATAACGCAGTTACAGTTACTTTTTTTGTAACGGACTGGAAACGTTACCTATTTTTTTTAATTATAACAGTTAATACAGGTAATACAGTTATATTTTTTTGGTGACGATAACAATTTGGTTACTTTTATTGTTCCTTTTCATATTTTGAATCTATTTACAACAATAATTTTTTATACATTCAATCTTCAATTTTTAGCTTTAATAATTCATACTACTCAAGATTATTTTAAATGTTTAAAGATGCTATAAAGATATTATAACGTTTTAAGATGCTATAAAATGGCTTTGTGATTGTGGTTTATAATATTTTAAGAATGTCATAAACCTATTACAGAGTGATTGTGGTATTAATATAAAACAGATTTATTATGAATACCAATTTTTAAATTTAATAAAAGTGATCTCATATATAAAATTTATTGTGAAATATCGCACCTTATCCAGATTATATTTCAAGATTAAAAATTTAATTGGCAAAATTGGATATATGTATGTATAAAACTCTAAAATATGTACGAATTTCCAGTTCAGAAAAAGTATCTCTTTTAATTGTGTTTGTACATATCGGTCTAGTGTTATTATTGTTTATTGCTTTCAGTAATAATACATAAAGTATTGCAAAATTTTTTAGACTGATCTTGTTTCAGCATTAAAAAAATAATGTCCATTCTCGTTATTTTTTAAATAATAAATAGTACGATAATTATAAGTTATTTTTTTACTTGATAACGAGTATCGAGATAATCAGTTATTTCAAAAAATAACTTTCCAATTTCTAATATTATATTCGGATAATATTACATGTGAAATTTGTCGTTTGATGCTATCAAGAGACGCGGTAGCATCTCCCATCAAGTATATTTTTGATGAAGTTTAGTACATTAAAAGCATCCTTTTATATTATAATGAAAGAAATACTACCATATCAGAGAAAGAGAAGAGAGATGCTATAGCGTGTCATTTACAGGAAAGAGGCTTATTGTAATAAAAAATTGTTTTGTTTAAATAAATTAATGATTTAAAAAATGCATATGTTGATGAAGAATATAGATTTTTACAATTAAAATAAGATAACAACTATGTTCGTAAGTGCACTTAATGCGTATAAATATGAATATTATGTTAAATATTATGTCAACAACACAAATATTATGTTTACAAAGCAAAAATAACAATTAAAAAAAAGAAACAAATTGTCGGAGAAAAAAAACCGAAATTTTTTTGTTTTTTTTTTCCGAAAGGATTTGAAAAAAGCGG